CATGCGTGATACCTGCTTAGGCGATCATGTAACTTTCGATACATGACTGACGAGGCAGATTTTTTATCACGCAGTAGTGTGCCATTTCTTTCTGCGGTAGACCAGTTGCCATCCAAAGATATAGAACCCGGTCTGTACTGCTATTTACCCAGGAGGAAGAAGACGAGGATTTATATGTTTCCCAAGATATTAGCACGTAAGTGAATGTAATGGATTCGACTGGATTTCGAACTCCGCCGTCCGATTTATCAATCCAAACAAGACCAAAAAGAATCATGTAAACTTATCATAAGAAAACATTGCTGAAGCCATAGGTGTTTAAATTATATTCTGCTTTACATCCAGCAGTTTTATTTTTATATATAATAATGCTTTCCGATTTAAGTTACAATGATTTCCTAATAATCTGTAATGCATTAAAAGATTACATTAAATACACTATATGCCTAAATGATAAAAAAAAACCTTTTCAAATACGCTCTGCTGAAGTGAGGTATCTCTGATGTGTGTATGCGTATTTTCTCCTTCATGTACAGAATAATAGCTGATAGTAATTTCATAGTATGCCTGTCTTCTCGAGGGGTATATAATCCTTGTTGCAGACGTCAACTCCGACACCTGTTTGTCTTTTTCAAGACCAACACATTTAACGGGTGGGTATAATGTAAATATGATGAGCAGAATCTGAATTTTCTGGTAGAGAATACCTAATCTGGTGTGATTAATTTTAAAACAGCCAGTGCCATCAAAACCTCTGTTGTATATATGTTTTTTCACACACACACACACACACACACACACACACACACACACACACACACATATATATATATATATATATATATATATATATATATATATATATATATATGTCAAAACATACATATATATAGAGGCAATATATGGCACCGATTGTTTTGTAACCTCTTGGAATATATATATATATATATATATATATATATATATATATATATATATATATATAAATATATTGACCACTAATATTATCTATCTATCTATCTATCTATATATATATATATATATATATATATATATATATATATATATGTGTGTGTGTGTGTGTGTGTGTGTGTGTGGAGTTTCCTTAAAACGACTGGTATGATTCTGAGGTTAAGTTTTGTATATAATTTTCTTGAGTTCTCATAATTTTCTTCATTTATGCACATAAATCATGTAGAAATTGTCCAAATGTTCTCTAATGTCCGACCGTATTCGGCTCTTATTTTACAATTGTCAACGACGATTAACTTTAAATTATATCTGAATATATGGACTGTTGTTTGTATGTATCTACATTTATAGAAATGTTTATTTTCAAAACACGGTTAGCACATTGTGGCCGTGTTGATGGTTGATGTTATTGGCATACAAAATATTCGGAAACTTTCTACATAATTTATCTCCAGAAAAGAAGAAAATTTCAAGAACACAAGTAAAATTAAATATTAACTCCAGTATCACCTCTGTCCTTTTCAATGAATCTTGCATAAAAGAGGTATGGCTGCAAATACAACATATATATCATCGCCATTTTATATATTTAACTTTGCGCATGCGCGTTGACTTTGATTTTATCTACTGCACATTACAGTAGGGTTATTCGGGTACCGTCTGTGAGAAAAAGACCACCATGAGAAAGTTCATGCCTCGATAGATTTGGAAACGGCATGCTGTTCTGCTTGGCATTCGAGCCGGAATCTTCAATACGAACATTTCAGAGTGTTTGCAGGCAGAGAATTCGGAAAGAGATGGATAAGTCTAATGTTAATTACGAAGGAAATTTGAAGTGATCACTTGTGATGGCGACATTATCCCTCCACCCATCTTTCCACGGGGTGTCTGCACCATGTCATACAAGCAAGAGAACCCAGTCATGAACTGAAGGAAAGTATTATGGCAGCGTTCACCAACTTAACCAAGGAGAGTTGCAGATTTCGAAGTTGTCTGGAAGGTGAGTTTGACGCCAATGGCAATTTTGTTGAATAAATTTACTTTTTCATATCTTTTCAGATACGTGTTATTTTCCTTAATATACCTGCTCAAATGGGATCTCAGCGTTATTTCCATGTTTGCGTAATTTAGATAACAATTTATCCATTCATAAATATATATATATATATATATATATATATATATATATATATATATATATATATATATATATATATATATATATATATATATATATATATATATATATATATAATTTACAATTGAAATTACGATACCTTTAGTAAATGACCATTTTCACTTACGAATTTTAATTTTAAAATTCGCAGGATTTTTCAAACAGTTTCTGGTATCGGCTTGTAGTGTACTGTTTATTTGGAGAAATAAAGAGGGTGGGTGTGTAATTGGGGAAGCAGACGGCATCGTTACTGGAATCATATCATGGAGGTCGGAGAGCCTGGCTTAGTGGAGTGGGAGTGGGAGACCTATGAGCTTACCTATATTGTAGTGGTGACTCGTTCAAAGTTTAATTCGCCGGGAATTCATGGAAAGTAACGAAAATGCAGAAATATAGTTTTAAAGTTTGCTGTATTTATGGGATAAAGTGGTCAATATCAGACATAGACCATTTGTAAATATGTATATATATAAAAGTGAACATCAATGTTCACTCATATATATATATATAATCAGACATTTTCAGTTTTTTAAAACTTTAATAATATTTGACTCTTCTTATTTGAAATAGACGCCAGTTTATTTATTAATCAGTGTGTATTACGTCTATTTTAAAAAGCCCAAAACTTACAGCAATTGTAGTCATACCTGCAAACTGTGCCAGGAGGAAAAGTTAACAATAATAAAATTTCCAGACAAAACTCCTCTACTGAATGAAAGATCGGAAATAATGACACAATGCATGCACATTAAAAAAATAAATTTTGAGTTTGTATGAACCAGGATAAAGTATGTACATTTTATTTACTCCCACTACAATGCAATTAAATACTCCTCCCCTTCTATTACACTTCACGTTTTTTGCTTATATATAAAGCGTTAGGAAATTTTTTGGGGAATAACTAATTCCTGAAATTTACGCGTTTCATAAGCATATTCATTATTAAAACCAGAAATACTATGGTAACGGCTAGAGCAATTATTTAATAAAAGGGGCGTAAGGGTTAATAATTTGTATCAATATCTCAGTTACATTCAAAGAAGTCAAGTCAGGGTAAGGTTGGGGTGTCTAAATTTAAAGCGGAAATGACATCGTCAAGTCTGGTTAAGTGTCTATGGAGATTTTTTTTTATTTATTTATTTTTATATATTTTTATATATGCTCTACTTTTGTGTCGAGCACTGTTTTTTAAAAATAATAACAAAAATACTTTGGATTATTTACCTAACGAATTCTTTCCTATTTGCTATATATTTTTACACACACACACACACACACACACACACACACACACACACACACACACACACACACACACACACACACGCGCGCGCGCACACACACACATACACTTATATATATACACACACACACATATATATATATATATATATATATATATATATATATATATATATATATGTTGAGATATAGTTTTACGATATTCTATATTTATGGATAAAAGTGCTCAGTTTTAGCGGTAGAGCGTATGTAAATATAAACGTGGCCACTAATGTTATGCATTACAAGGCCCAAGATTTAGTGAAGGCAGATGGTTAAGTTATGTTTTTGTATGGGCGAAGGAAAGAACAAGAAAATTGAAAAAGCATAAAAGGTACCCTTTAACCTGGAATTAAAGAGGTCAAGTGATTGGGAAAACATTCTGAAGAATCTCCCCTAAAGGAACTTACTTCTTACTCTAGTATTACGAAGGGAATGTTGACGATTTACATTTGTGTAGGTGTTATGGTGGGTTACAGTCGTAATTATACATCAGAAGTGTATATCACCTCGGGAAGTTGTGACGCGCAACATTAGCAGCGGCTTGTGATATTAAATTGTTAACTGCTAATCTACATTGGGTTCACCATCATTAGCATCTTTAAATTCGTTCTGTGAATATTTTTACGATAATAATTATTTTTTTCTTCCCCGCACACTCAAACTTTAAATCAATCCACACGATGGATTTCCTCCCGTCGGTCAAACCGCCCAGCCTCCTTACTTCACCATCAAAAAAAAGAGACCACTGACAACAGCTGCTCAACGTGTATTCATCCGCGAGGAATTTTTATAGTCACTTGACCGTATCACTCCACTGCTAACTTAATAGAATTTTGTTTCTCCGAAAGCCTATCCACAGTCTGTAAAACCCAACAACCCTATCAAATTTTAGTACCATTTTCGGGTACATTAAGCATAGTTCTGTAATTAAAGAACCAGCCAGTAGGAAATAAGCTCTATTCTTCATATTAGACACTCCCACACCTTTCTTCGTCTTTTGGCATCTTCATTTCATGATGTTATTGTGCGAAGTGTTAATATAAATGTAACAGACTTCGTCATGCTTCTGTCTATTCTCTTACATCCCTGTCTCAATTTTCGATGTGCCTCGACTCGTATATGCAATTACCTTCTCATACGCGTCATTTGTTTCAATCTTGTCAACTGGATCTTTTCGTTCTGTTTATCGTACATGCATAATTTGTTCCGACACAGATTTGACGTTTACTTCTCTCTTTTTAATTTTTTTAAATTTTTTTATTTTATTTTTGGCCGTGGGTTATTTTTTCTGAATCATTTCATTTGTTGTATACTAGATTTTTATTGGCTGATTATTGTATTTGAACAACTGTTGCCATCTACTACACACGATTAACCAGATTCGTTATTTCTGTTCTGGGAAATTTATTCGTTTTCAAACATTATTTTTTTACTTTTTTCTTTACTCGATTAAAATTCACATTCAGCTGTTATAACGTTTTCTTTTTTCATCTAAAATTCTCTCTTTCATTTTTATTTCTTTCATTCTCATCTCTTTTACAATCCATTTTACATTTACTTTTTACAGTGTTTCTTCCTTTTTTTTCCTTTCCATTTTCCATTGTTTCTTTCTATCTTTTTTGTTATCTTTCCTTTTTTTTCTTACACCCATTTATTCTTTATTTCTTTATTTTTATCTTTCTTTCCTTTTCTTTTTCTTTTACATATTCTATTACCACGTGTTGTTGCTTCGTTTTATAGTCACTTTTTCATTGTCTTCCTCTTTGTTACTGTTGTAAGATTTTTACGTGTACTATGTTTTTATTGTTTTTTTTCTGTCGATTTGCCATATTCTTACCTTTTCCTTGTTTTTTTTTTTTTTTTTTTTTCATTTTCCCTTTACATTATCTCTAGGTGATTAAAATATTTCTCCTTTTTTGATTTTTTTATCTGTTCTTTGCATTTTGTTGGAAACAAAGATTCCGCACAACTTTTATTAAGAACAATATAAAATGTTGTGCAGGAAATTTGTTTCCCACCAAAAAATAACGTATATTTTCAATTTACTTTTCTTCGTGTATTTTCTTCAATATTCGATCATCAATGTCTTATTTTCTCTTTTTCCTATGGAATTTATTCCTTCAGAATTATAATACTATTTTCTGCAGTAGCTTCTTGTATCACAGTTTCAAACATTTCCGCAAATACATTTTATTTATTTAATTTCACCTTGACCTTAATTTGCTTTATTTATCCATTAATACTTATAATATTTTAACCATTTTTATTGTCTCTATCCTAATTCAACTCAGTATTAAATCTTTTGCATTTTTCCTGAATCTTATATTTTATTAAAATTAAGGCGACAATCTTTTTTGTTATTTTCATTCTCTTTCATTTGTTATCATCAATTTATTTTCTTTCTTTTACAGAATCCCTTCTGAAACTAAATAATTATTTTTCATTATCCCCACCAACTTTTGGCATTTGCCTTTCTGTTTTTATTCTCTTCATTTTTACGTCTTTATTTTCTATTGCTGTTGGCATATCAATGGATAAGAGAGACTTATTCATTGATTTTGTCTGACGAAAGTTTATTAAGGATAAAGTCAGTATTCCATTGAATGGGATAGAACACTAATTAGTTAACCGTTACATAAAACAATCACTTCCCTATTCAGTAGAATATATCCAGGGAAATGTTAAATTCTTAACAGCAGAGATACTGACGCAACATCCATATATCCAGAATTAGAAAGATTTAATTCTCAGTTAATCAAACAACTGGAACATTTTATGAGAGCCGAAATCGTCAAAGCTTTTAAGAAAGTCTTTCAGCATCAGCTGAATTTTTTCACCCAGAATCATGCGTATTGTGATCTACAGTAGTTTTGACATTGCTAATAAATATATATGACAACCATCTTTACCACTGATCCTCAAAAGCATATGAACGCGATGGCATCCCTATAATAGTCATTAACTCTAGAACACTAACCATCAATTAAAGTTACATCACTATTAACCATGGGTATATCATACCCGATTTTGAAAATATCAAAAAAAAAAAAAATATTAAATATAAATGTTTATTTGAAATATTTTACATGCAGGACTTCAAACTTTATACTTTGAGTTAACATTAACAGGAACTGAAAAACATTGTTTAGGTAAGAAAATCAGGTACTGGAAATTGTAATTAAAAATGGGAAAATTTGCTCAGGGTAATATATACCCATGGTTAGTTTTCTAGGGTTAAGTAACCTGAAAAGAGTTGATAGAAATCGAACTTTCACAATCGGGTCTCATAGCCAAAAAGTGAACATTCTAAGCTTCTAAAAATCGGTATTACTTTAGGTTTATAAGAAATCCGGTTTTAATTATAAATATATTATACCAATAACATATGTATATACACCGTCCATTTGCGCTGGGTACTATATACCCATGGTTAGTATTCTAGGGTTAAGGACTGTGCTTCTGAACTGGATCTTGTTCTCTCTAAACAGCATAATAAATGCCTCGCTTCCTTCTGCTTTCCTGCTTGCTGGAGATCATCGTCTTGTGTTCCAGTGTTTAAGAAATCTGGTGGACCGGCCGACCCATTCAATTATCGGCCTATTAGACTTCTACTTCTTTTAGGAAGCTCCTAAAGGCCCTAATCAATGCTGAATTGTTTCAACATTTCTAATCTCAGGATCTTTTCAAAGACAAACAATACGACTTCCGTTTTAACAGATCAGATGTAAATAGATTTGATTGAAAATAGATTGGATCTGCAATATTTTTGACGTCGCTAATAATTACGAAAATATATACGACAACACGCGGTCTTCCGTTGATAGGGGATAAACTTAATTTCCATTTTAAAAATTCTTGACCACACAAAACTGTTTGCTAGTCTCTCCCGATTTTCCTGGTAAATGTACAAATGAGCTTCATTCCTTACTTCTACCATTTCAGACATTTACATTTAGTACACGCCAAGCCGCATACACCGGGTCGAATCATCGTCATTTCCTTCACATTCTAAACGTAAGGCAAAAGTTATATTCAGACAAAACTTTTATTGCTGTTGTTTCCAGGTCCACACGAACTAGCACCTGTTAGGGTCCCATCTATAGGCAAATAGTTACCACCAAACTAACAGAAAACTCTTGAAAGCATAAAAATATTTTTTTTATAGTTGAAGAACCAGTAATGAATATTTGAAGCAAAGTGATGAGTAATTCATTTTAGAATCAGTCAATTATGTGCCATACGTGATACACGCTTAGGTGATCATGTATCTTTCGATACATGACAAACGAGGCAGATTTTTTTCTGCAGTAGGTTGCTATTTGTGGGCGGGGGAAAATAATGATTTAGTAATGCAAGTCTTACTACTTAACCCATAGCTGGATTGAGAACAGGTGGATCTCTATACCTTTCCTAATGAAATTTGGGTGTATGTGAATATCTCTACACCGAAGGCTTGCGTCCATGCCACGTTGAAACATCGATTCCCAAACGATCACTGAAGTTAAGCAGCATCGAGCCTGGTCAGTATATAGATGGGTGATCGCTGTAAACTTGGATGTGCGGGTGGTGTGATGGATAATGTCTCAGAATTTTTAATCGAAGAGCCAAGTACCAAGTCCGTTTTGGTTCGTTATAGTCTCATACGCCCACATTTCACTAGGTAAGGTATATTGATCCAGCTGTTCTCACTCCAGCTATGGGTTAATTAGTAAGACTTGCATCACTAAATCATTATTTTCCCCCACCCCCAAATAAAAAAAAAACTGTTCTATCATCGAGGTAAATGATAAACAAAGAAGAATGAATTCTTAATATATTTATTCGGCACCAGAACAATAAGTTATAAACAATTAACAAGACAACTTACAAGGAATAGATGAGGGACAAATGCTGTATAGTCAAATGAAGTAAGATCAGTCCGAATATTAATCTGCTAAGTATCAACTTAATAAACTGTTGAATTCCTTAATCATAGACTATTTAAGGCTATGAACCCGGCCATCTGGTAGTGTCCTGAAGGGGTGCTAGCTATTCTACACACACAAAAAAAAACTTTCTTACAATATAAAAAATAAGCCTTTACAAGGCCCGAGGGCCAGTCGCGGCAGACTTAAGTTAGGAGGCATTTTGTGCCGATGGGAGGGTAAGATAAGTGTTAGCACTAACCTTAGACAGGTTAAGATTGTAGTGACCAGGGTAACATCCACTTGGGAGTCGGTTGCAAAGAGCAGTAGTTCACGTTGTTGGAAAGCTACTAGACAGACTCACCGACAGAAGTAGCATGGTTTTGAAATAAGCCACAAAAGGTGTATCACCCGTACAAATGTAACCATCAATCGATCAATCAATCTGTACATGGTGTGGCTCTCAAGCCTTGAATTAGGTCAAATTTTAGTATAAAATTTGTTAATAATGACTCTCTCAAATATAGGACAATAGTATGCTGGACAGACAAAGTTTATTTATTGTAGTTATTTTTTAAATCAGAACACACCGCAAAATACACGCATTCTATTATTACACTCCACACACTATCCCTATTTTGCTTTTCTTATATATATATATATATATATATATATATATATATATATATTTCTTATGTCTCCCTTCTTTCTATTTCTTGTAGGGCAGAATTAGGAACATCTTTCTCATAATATTGGCAACCTGTTCAGTTTTTTTTTTACGACCTCCCATTCGTCAATACGTTTGCGGATCATTCAGCGTTACGCTGTGAAAAATCACTCGCTTGGAAGAAAGCGACAAGAACGTATTCATTTCTTTCTTGCGTTTTTTCCTTCCTTCTTTTATTGCGTCGACCGCGGACGCGCCAGAGGCGGGAAAGTTGCTCGTTGGCCCTTGCAGTAATTTTTGTGCGATGGCGTGCAGGAATATGGTTGTAATTTGGCCTGTTATCAGTTGACTTACTTTTATTCTTATTTACATTTTAAAATTCTTTTTTGGTGCGTGTGTGGGTTAGTTTCAGAGGGGTTTCCGATAGAATTTACATTAGTCAAGGAATCGCTCTGTAAGTCAAGCATACCTAATTTTGTCAGGGTATGTCCCCTTATGTTATGTACGATGTTACATAGGGTAATATAGAAACAAGTATATCCCCCTCCTCTCTCGCAAAATGTGTGTATGCATGTGTTCAATTTTATGCATATGTGTGCGGATATATTTGTACGCAATTCCCGAAATATATCTGAAGCTTATATGAAATCTTAAGTTACACAACCTTAAGCAAACTATAAATCAATGAGCATATATTAAGAAAAGATAATGGTGATATGTGGATGTAGATAGATAGATATAGAGAGATAATGGTAAAGACAGATAGATAGATAGATAGATAGATAGATAGATAGATAGTTGCTATAGAGAGATATAGATAGAGATATATATAGGTATATATATATATATATATATATATATATATATATATATATATATATATATATATATATATATAGATAGATAGATAGATAGATAGATAGATATATATATATATGGATAGATATATAGATATATAGATAGAGATAAATAGATATAGATAGGTGGATATAGATAGCTATATATATATATATATATATATATATATATATATATAGATAGATAGATAGATATAGATAGATAGATAGATAGATAGACCGAAATTTATATAGAAAAGAGTGCTGAACTGCCGTGTAATATCAGTCCTTCTATATGTTATGTAACACTAAGCAATTTCCTCACGGAGGAAACGAAGACTTGAAGCAACAGAAATGTGGCTCTACAGAAGGATGTTGAGCATAGCATTAATGGAGCGTGTCTTCAATCAGGAAGGTTTAAGGAAAATGGAATCAAAAAGGACAATTTGTATTGCCGAAGAGCTGAAATTTTTATGAAAAATAATGAGAATGTCAGGCCATGAAAAATTTAACACTGACAGGACATAACGAAGGCAAAGGCTGTAGCAGTCCGTCTCCCTGACGAGCTTACCTGAATGGATGGTTGAAAACGTAATGGAAATTATTGTAAAAATCAAACTATACACAGATCTATAAAAGTTATGAAGTTACGAAAGCCATTGACTCACATGTCTTGAAGGGAAACGATACATATTTACTAGAAAAGTGAATAAAACAAACAAATGCGACAAAGAAACTGTAAATTAAGGATATGACATAATATTGACTAGAAGCTGAGACTGATATCGAATTTTGATTATATATATATATATATATATATATATATATATATTCCATATCAATCTCAGCTCCTGGTCAATATTGTGTAATTTAATTAATTTACAGTTTCCTACGTCGCATTTGTTTATTGTATATATATATATATATATATATATATATATATATATATATATATATATATATATATATATATATATATATATATATAGTCTTATATTTATGGGATAAAGTGCCCAATATCGTTTGTAAATATAAAAGTGAACATAGAAGTCAACACTTAGAGGCAGCAGTCTGTTTCATGCTAGACGCAATCGTTGTGGCCTGATGATTGCGTCTAGCATGAAAACAGACTGTCACCTCTAAGTGTTGACTTTATGGTGACTTTATATATATATATATATATATATATATATATATATATATATATATCGCAATTGTTTATATATATATATAACAAAATGCGATATATATATATATATATGTGTGTGTGTGTGTGTGTGTGTGTGTCTGTATGTCTGTGTGTGTGTGCATGAGTGTGCGTATTTAGACAGAATATCTTCATTCAATCATGTTTGGTTGAATAATTTATATATTGACTATTTATTTTATTTTAGCCTTCTCAAATTTACGTGAATTTGAAAGGATTAAAATAAAAATAAACGTACACACACACGCACATATATATATATATTCATACATGTTTCATTAAATAATATAGACAAGTGTTGTCTATTTATTTTATGTAGACTCTTTTCATAACGTCTAATAAGTTTAATAATATATATATATATATATATATATATATATATATATATATATATATATATATATATGCTCTATGTATGTGTGCGCGTGCATACATTCACAAGTGCACATAAAATAAATTTCAAATAAAGCATAAATAATAATAAATAATAATAATAATAATAATAACAACAACAACGCATTCATACTAAACCAGACATAGATCACTTGGTTTCTGATCTGCTTTGGTTAGAATTGTTAACATACATATTTTTTTGTCTTGGTGAATTAAGATGTTCTACAGTAAATATTTATTTCAGTATAACAAATTTACACCAAACCTGCCTGATCCTAATGAGGTAGGCATGTACTTTAGGAGATAAAATAGTGTCTCTGTTCTTGAGCGAGAATAGCGAGGTGGCATTATGACCGTGTGTCGAGAACATTGATTTTTTTTTTATCTTAAATGATGAGGCACTCAAGCCGTCATGGAAGTGACATCGAGATACTTCGGAACACCATCAATCGGAATGAAATATGTTTTTAGACTAGGTCTCTCCTGAAGGCTGATTTTATCAGAAACTCCCACTACAAAGTGTGCATTTGTCTGTGATGCGTGTGGTTGGTATACACTTATCAATCTGGCTGTCATGATCCGTATATTGGGATTCGCATATTTGTGCTCCAGTGTCATATTGTTAGAGTGACATTCTCTCACTCACTAACACAATAATAATAATAATGAATGGCAGTCCCTGAAGACTGCAATACATCTTTGCAGATCTTCCAAAAGCTATCAAAATACAAGGACCTTGAAAATTAAATCTAAAAAATGCGGCACATGAGAACATCAACAAACCCTGTTGTACTTGGAGCACTCGGATTCGTTGGGACAGATTCCAATAGACTCATTGAAGGGATTCATTGTAGCCTATGTCTTAAAGAAATACAAATAATTTTTCTCTAGCCTACAGCCTACACCTTATGAAGGGCGTTATCTATGCAAATTATGTGTGCTTTTTTGTTTTGATTGTTTTAATTGCTCAGTAAAAATGTCATGATGCCTTTTCTGACCTTATGTCTCCCTTTGAGCTCGGAAAGAAATGAGTACACTCCAGAAATCAAAGGTAATAAAATGATAAGAATAACTAGAAGATAATGGGGAAGTAGGCAAAACTGCCAGAAAATTAGTCAGAAAACCGAAACAAAAAATGGCAAAGTTAAGCCTGAAGCAAATAAAAAGCTGGAGCCAAAGGCCTGTACATAGTCATTTCCTTCTTCAAATCAAAATTTCTGATGTAGATCAATTCTGCAACCCAGCAGTGGCTCAGGACTCCAGGACTTTATTGTGAGACTGCAGTGTTTATTATTGTTGCACAAGACCAGATCAGGAAAAAAAGAAAGCAAATACCAAGCTAATGTTTTGCATAATAGTATCGACCCAAAATGTTGTTTCTCTGACCAATACATTAAGACTTTTGATCGGATTATCATGAGATAATCTGATCTTACACCCAAGGAGTACAAAGACCGACATGACAGTGAGATGGTAATATGTGCATTGAAAGATCTTGCATTAATACAAGGTAAAACAGCTGCAAACTGGAATAAACATCATACTGAATCTGTAATTTATATTGCAGATTATACTATTGTCTAGCATTTTTCTATCATCAGAGATCGAAAAATACAAGCAAATCGCCCAGACATTAGGATCAAAGACAGGAAAAAAAAGTTTGCACACTGATTGACATGAGCATTCCAAGTAACAAAAAAAAAAGAAAAAAAAAAAGAATCTACGATGTTTTTTTAAAAAAAAACAAACTAACCAAATACAAAGTTGCGGAGATGTAAAAATTTGGCACTTCAAAACTAAAACAGTCCTGTTGTGGTTAGAGATTTAGATATGATCAAGAAAGGAACTCAAGCAGAAATCAACAAAACCTCTGGTACGCCATCTCTCCAGGAAATCTAGAAAATAGTTTTAACAATTCAGTAGTATTTTCTTTTTACTTTAACGGAATTTTCCTATTTCTTAATACTTTGTTTCGTTTTTGGAAGTTATCTTTCGCTCTCAGAAAGCGCATTCGCATTTCAGTGTCGTACACTCCTTACTCTGTTAAAAAGCTTCCCAGATATTTAAAACGTTATTTCTCCTAAACTCTGTTCTGTCATCCATTTACTTAATCTCTTAAAGTATATTATGCGCTGTTTTCCTCTGTCACTCTTGCTCTCAGTCTGTACTATGAGTATCAGATTTTATGTGCCCTAGAAATTTCAACTGTCTCTTCCTGATGTTAAGTAGAGTGAACAATCACACACCTTTTTCCCACATGCCAGCTTAATATGCTAAACCTGCAGAAGAATCTACCATGCTAAGACCAGACTTCTAAGCCAATTCAGACGCAGCACACAAGACTGAGTTTAGATCCAACAGGCCCTAACATTAATCCGCTTGTTAAACTGATGACTACTAGTTTATATTAGTATATATATGGCATTCATCGTTCATCGTTCTCGAGAGACCATGGATATGGGTCCCATATGTTATGCCTCAGCTGCTGATGTCGACACAGCATTTGTTATGGCTGTACAGGCCCACACGGGATTGACAGTTCTGATTTCAACGAAAGCGTATGAAAACGCTCACCCCTGATGTAGCCGTGATGTTTTCTATCCGTTGAGTACGATTCTTGATGCGTTAGTGAGGTCGATATCGTACTATATTGCCGGTTGCCAGTTTCCATACAGAAGGACCTTTGTGTGTGTGTGTGTGTGTGTGTGTGTGTGTGTGTGTGTGTGTGTGTGTGTGTGTTTTTTTTAACATTAAAACTGTTAAAAAGTTATTTAAAACATTTTCAGACATACTGGATTGTATATCAATAATTGTTTTATTATTTCAATTATGTTCCTCGCCTAGTTTCAGCCATCCAG